AAAAAAAAAAAAAAAAAAAAAACAAAAAAAAAAAGAAAAGTCGAAACAAATAGAACAACACATTCCAAGCGAATAAAAATGATGATTGTCTTGTAGATGTCTGTCTTACATAGTGATGACGATGCAAATGATGACGATAATCGGGAGGTATTCTCATCCAAGAGCTACACACATCATCGATGAATTGTTATAAGCAACAATAAGTACGAACATATGGTTTGCGATTTGTGTATGTACCCTATCTATATGTGTGTAATTGCAAACAACGAAAATACACGAAACGATGTGTTTGCTTATCTGTTTCAAACACAAAAAAAAACCTTTCAAAAGTACATATTGTCGGTTACTGCTGATGAGAAGCAAAAATGCAAAACTTTTTTTTAAACCGGCTTGCTTTTTTTTACTGTTATCTCATAGCAACAAATCCTCCTATTAATAATATTTCAAAAAAACACACAAATATCTTAGCAAAACAAATGTAACAAAATGAACTGCTTGTTGAAATTAAAACACTGACCAAAGTAACTCATGGCCGGAACAAAGCTTGCTATCCTCAAATTTTAAACTACCCTTTAACAGATGCCAATAGGATTTTCTAAAATTGTTACCCAGCTCGATTTCAGAATCTGCTCGGGAGGTACACTCATCCAAGAACTCCACACAATCAACGAAGAATTGTTATACACTGGGTGCAGATTTGAAAAAAAAACTTTTGACTAAACCACAAAAAAAAGATATTTTTTCTTTAATATTCCAAAAAAAAACCACTCATCTGGAAAATATTCGGAAGAAAAAATTTTGAAAAATTGAAAAAAAAAACAGAAACATGATTTAATACACTATAGACAAAAGCAACATCAGGAATATGCCCATTAACTGTAAAAGCTTCCTTTAGTAAACTACAAAAATGCCAAAAACATTAACAAAAATAGTAAAAGCAGTAAAATGAGTGAACGATTTCCTCACGTCTGCCTAAATTAACGTAAAAATATCGGATCAAAATTTGTAGTTTTTTCACCTTTTGTCTTTTTCATTGTTCTGTTGTATATTTTAATTTAAAGACCCGGAATTTTTGTGAGTGATCAAGGTCAGTTATAAAACACCTTCATTCCACAATCCAACGGAACCAACACAACACCAGCACCAATAAATAAAAATAATACCAACCAACAGCAGCCAACTAAGAACATAACCCTAACAAATAAATTAGCGTTCATTGCCCCATTATTGCAATCACACACAAACACACACACACACACATACACAAACACCACACATACGCTCATTCAGTTAGTCAGTTAGCCACTCACTCATTCGCACAGTCGCACTACCAACGCATTAACTAATCGACAAAATCAGCAGTCCAGAATGTAGCAAGAACATAAACTTCAAAAAATTTGAAAAAAACGGCTAAAAATTTACTCAACTATGAAGAAAAATGATGAATAAGGCAGCAGGAAAAAAGTTTATCCCAATAAGAAAATTTTATCGTTACTTAATTAGCTGCTCAGATCCAGTCAGTTAGTTTAGTTAGACTGTTGTCATTTAATACTATTAACGCTAGCCCAAACGTAAAATACTTTTTAAGCAAAAGCATCATGATCATTATTATTACTATTATTATTATTATTATTATTAGTAGTAGTAGTAATAGTAGTAGTATTAGTAGTATTTTCATTATTAAAAACTAGAGCAACAGCAAAAAGTGCTAACATTAAAATTGAAACTAAAGCCAACCCTGCCACTATTACCAAAAAGTAACAACACTTAAGGCATCTATGTAAAAATCCAATCTTTAAATAACCTGATAAGCTTATTTTGCCAATTCTTTTCCGTATACTTTCATTTATAGTTAACTATTCCATACAGAGTAGATTTTATGTATGCTAGTTATCATTATTTTTCAATTTACTACAACCAAAAAAAACACATCTTGTAGGCTTACTCGCTCCAAAAATTTTAGTTTTTAACTCCTCCACTTACCGCCTCAACTAGTCAGTAACCTCATAACTGTTACGGCAGCAGTATCCAGTTGTAACTCAAAAAAAAGTAAATAAATAAGAAAGCCAAAAAGAAAGACCACGAAGCACTTAAAAAAATCAAAACTAAGACTGGCAAAAAAAGCTAAAAAACTGAGAAGGAACGACAGGAAATCAATGACCATAAACGACAACGAAATAACAAAAAAAAAATCCTGAGTTTTGGATTAAAAAAACCGTGAAGAATATAGAGAACTAAGGAAGAAAGATAAGGACAAGGCACTTCTTAGTATGCTTTTTCTTCTTCTTCTTCTTCTTTT